CACGGCAATGCAAATGGCGTCCTCGCCACCCTCGACGCGGCCTTCTTCAAAGAGACCACGTCGGCCGCCATCGCGCTCCGCAGCATGAGTATGGGCTCCTAAAGGCTGTACGAGTACGTACTAGTAGATCGTAACCCACTGCGCGCATGGATCATTTGTTGCGCCTTTCAATTTGAATCGAGGCAGACAGATTTGACCGCTCGGTGGTGCGTCAGGATGAGAGAATGGGACGGTCGTCGATCGATCGCATGTGGGCGCCGGATGCAGTTGTGTGCGTTGACGTGGCGGCAAGGTGTCCCTGCTGCGAGCCAGCGGTGGCTCCCTTACGACGCGTGCGGATATCGGGGCAGGTCAAGGAAGACGCGCACCACTTTGTTGGATGGCATACACTCGCGCGACGCGCCGCAAAGTTGGCTTGGTGCCAAGATGTACATCAACACGGATGGATGCTAGACTACATTGATATGGGTACTACGTTCTACTGTACTGCACTACGCGACGACCACAGAGTATTTTACGCGTAGTTGTTTTCTTCGTCCGTCGAGTGCTCGTCGAGGCCATGGGCCAAGATGCGCGTCGCCATCATGTTGCCGTTGACGTTGACCATGACGCGGATACGGCCGAGGAGAAAGTCCATTGCGACCACATACACAAACGAATGCGGGAGCGGCGCGGTCGGAAACACCGTCTTCCACACGGTCAAGAGCATGATCAAGCCGGCGTTGGGCACCGGTGCGGTGCCCATCGAGCCGACGAGACTGATGCAGAAGAGAATCACGAGCTTCGGTGTCGTGAGCTCGCTCAGCATGCCTTCCATGTACACCATGAAGACGACCATGAGCGGGTGGTAGAGGCCCGCGGCGTTCATATTGGTGGGTGTGCCCAAGCACATGATGAGCTGCGCGGTCGACCGCGTCACCTTGCGCGTTTGGTGGATGACGGTGACCGCAACAGGGAGCGTCGCCATCGACGACGAGCAGCCGAACGCAAAGACGTACGCGGGTACGAGCTGCCTCATGTACGCATATGGGTTGACGCGGATCAAGAGGTAGAGGACGCAAGGGAGGACGAGGCCGACATGCATGAGCACGACGCTGAAGAAGCAGAGCACCACGTAGCCGGCGTGGGATGCAAACGACGATGACGCTTTTGTATACGTGGCCATCGCATTCGTCAAGAGGAAGAGAACGGCGATCGGCGTAAAGCGAAGGGTGCCGGTGACGAGCAACAGAAGCGCGTTGCGCGCTTGGCGGAAGAGCGCGAGGAGCTCGTTCGGGCCGGGCATGCTGCTGTGGTGCGACCGTGCGACGGCGACACCGAGCGGGAGTGCAAACGCAATCACACTGAGGAGCGTGCCGTCACTTAGGGCTTGAAAAATGTTGTCGGGGACGGCTTGGTTGATGATTGCAATGGCTTGCTGCGTCAGCGACAGCGTCGTTGCCGAGAGCGGCGTAGCTATGTGGAGCGCGCCGTTGACGTCGAGCATGGTAAAGGTTTCGCTAGTGGTCGCGTTCTGTGCGGCAGAGCACGCGACCGACCCGTTCTCATACGTGTGGAGGAAGCGTCCGTTGGCACACTGGAAGGCCACGATGGGACCGGTGCTTATCGCGGTGGCGGTGGCGGTGGCGCGGGTCGTGAGGAGACTCCGGTAGACGAGCGCCGCACCGAGGCCTTCGCACGCGGCGAGAATCGATGTGAGGAGAAAGACGCCAACCGTGCGCCACGTCAGAAGCGACGTGCGCTTGAGTTCGATGACTTCGGCGATCGAGACCGTCATGGTACAAACACAAGCGGCACGATGAGGCACTTGAGCGCGCGGACAAGGAGGTCACCGGGCAGCGCAATCCAAGCCAGCGTGTCGG